CTACGGCTAGGAGGGTACAAGGCTATAAGCTCGTTATCTACTAGTTTCATGGTCCATAGTCCAGAATTGGGGTGTTAAGCAGCACGACTGGGAAATCTAACGACGTTCTTTGTTGTTAGAAGCCACTGTTATGGGAAAATGCACATGTTTGTGACGGTGCGAGTCCAGTGATTTGGAGTAGGTGCGCCGCGCCGCTGGTATTGGGGGGGTAGGTCTGTTCCAATGGCTCATTTAGCCTTATTAGAGGGGGTTGAGTGAGGGGGTGACGCATTGAGGATTGTATTGCGGCGGCAGACTCCTCAGGGGGTATGCAGTCTGTGGGTGGATATCGGAGTTTTATGTTGAATCTGACAAAGGCTATGGAAATTAGGCTGTACTACAAAATATATGAAGTACCATCTTTGGCTGCATGGACGGTGGGTTTGTTTACAGCAACCAGAACCCCTCAAACGTATCTAGTCAATTTGCCACAATACACCTTTCCTTTCTCAGAGACACCTTTTGCAGTGATCTGTTTCTGATTCAGTATAGTATCAATAGCTATAGCTGACTTACCTGTGTGTGCATCTCCGACAATAAGCTCTCGTTGCAAAACATTCATTCATTCATCAGTGAAGTCTCATTTCCGGAAGTCATTTTCATCTCTTTGATCCCAGACGTACGTGTGTGTGCGCACGCGCATGCGTGCATGCATGCATGTGTGTGTGTGTGTGTGTGTGTGTGTGTGTGTGTGTGTGTGTATTTCTCGATGAAACGCTCAGCCCGGTCTATGGTTGTGTTCGTATTTGGAGTAGTGGTGGGTGGGAGATCCCTTAAAGGCTACGTCTATCGGTGTTAACTTCTAAGAGAGAAATGAATGAAACTTATGAAAGTCTTTTAAGTCGGCCATGGGTTCTGGGCTTGCAGTGTGCTTATCTTATAATATACGAGTGATCAGAAAAGTTATGGAGAAGATTAAAAAGTGAAGAAAATTTCCTCTGTTCATTTGCAAAATGTTGGACTAACGGGAAATCTTTTTGCTTTTTTTTTTTTTTTTAATGTTGTTTTTGCAAGTCGTAAAAGTTAAAAACCCATCGCAATTTCTTGAGGTATGTTTTTCATGTGTGCAGCTTTCATCCCGCGTCGAATTTGACGAATTTCTTGGATTTCTCGCCCCCCCCCCCCCCCCCCCCCCCCCCCCTTGTTGCCGTTGCCTTTTTTTCCTTTTTTTTTCCCTTTCCTTAAATCCTTTTTGCAGGTGGAGCGCCAAGTGCCCTTTTCTGTTTACGTGTAATTGTGGCGGTTTCCCCTTTTCTCTGCCAGCTTCTGACTTCCACTTTCACCTTTTGCAGTTCGCATCTGACTTTCGCTTTTGCCATTATTGCCACTCAGCTGACACTGGCTGCACTCCTTGTCCAGGTTCCTTTTTTCGCCTCTGGCAATCTCTTGACCAGGTTCCTTTCACCTCTGTCACCATATGCACCTCCCAGTTCTGTGGAGTGTCTGTCTGTTCGCCCTTCTCTTTGCTGTTTCTGCTCTCACACACTTTTTGTTTTCTTTGGCTCTCACACCCTTTTTCTGTGTCTGTGGTTGGCTGGTCTGATCGGTTATTCTTTTTCTGTGTCTGTGATTGGCTGCTCTTTTTCTGTGTAGGTGGTACCCCTTCCATTAGCATTTCTCTGTCCCCACTTCACTGAGCTGTCGTACTCTTTTTCTGCGTCTGTGGTTGGCTGTTCTGATATCTCTACTCTTTTCTGTGTTTGTCGTCTGCCTTTCACTCTGGTTACTACTGTCCCACACTGGTCCCACACTGTGGTTACTGCTGTCCCACAGTGGTCCCACAGTGGTCCCACACTGATCCCACACTGGTCCCACACTTATCCCACAGTGGTCCCAGTGGTTACAGCACTAACCACAGTGTGCAAGGGCGTGTAAGGCTTGCATGATTAACGATTTGCAGAATGGAGATCGACGGGCAGGGCGCGGAAGCGTTGGTGAATGGGGATGACGGGAGTGACACTGCAAGCTGGGACCAGTCAAAAGCTGTGGGCGCGATCAGGTATGCGCTTCAGACTCTTTATAGTGATGACCCGGTTATAGCGCAGCAGGCTTGTGCGGCCGCGCAGCGCGTCTTCGCAAACGGCGGCTCGAGCAGAAGTCTTAGCAGCGTGAGGCACTGGGCATCTCGTATCTTGAAACAGCTAGCGCGGGCGCGGGGAGAGTTGAATCCTCGTCTTGTTGAAGAAGCAGTCGGTCCGCTTGTCGGCATTTTGTCGACCACAAGCGTAGATCGAACCTGTGACCGCGCCGACTCAGCATTCATTCTAGGAAGTATGGCATGCGGAGGTTCTAGGTGTAGCGAAACCATAGCGCGGACAGGAATCATAGGCGAACTTGTTCGTTTGATAGATAGGGATGACACGGCATTGCCAGCGGAGAGAGAGATGGCAGCATTCGCAATTGCGAAGCTGTCGCGGAAGCCGGCAGAAAATGCACGAGTAGTCGATGGAGCAGGAGGGCTGAGGTCTCTGGTGAACCTCCTGGATGTGGGAACATCTGTGGCAAAAGAGTACGCTGCAGAAGCAATCTGGTGCCTGGCTCGGGACCGGGAATGTGCCCAGGCCTTGGTTCGCTTAGGCTGTGTGCGTCGCCTCGCGTCTCTCATTCGAAACGCCTCGGTGCCTGCAAGAGTGAAGGCCCACGCTTCACATGCACTTGGTGTTTTCGGAATCCATAAGAGAATTCGACGGGTGATTGTCGAGGGCGGGGCCATCGAAGCTCTCGCTGATATCCTCCGATCCAACTTAGATCTGACGACAAGGATCAATGCTGCAAATACCCTGGGTATCCTAGCGGTGCAGCTGGATGACACAAGCCGAATTGCGAACGCTGGTGTGGTGCCGGCTGTAATCAGTCTCTTGTTTGAAGCCGATCAACGAGCGAGAGAGATCGGAGAAGACAGTCTGTGTGTGATTGCTTCTTCCTTTTCCAATGCCATCTCCATTGCGAAGCATCTGATAGCCATTGCGACAGATGCATCTCGGTCATGGGACGATCGTTCAACCGCTGTGGACTCTATCTGGGACCTTGCAACATACAGCCACTGTGTTAGTGCTGTCGGGGCAGCGGGCATAATCCCTCAGCTCATCTCCCTGTTAGACGAGGATGAGGCGGCCCCCCGAACGACATCGGTACCAGATGTTGCGCCTTTGGAACCTCCTTGTGTGCCAGGATCGCCCAGTCCATCCAGTCCTCGAGCATGTCCACCGTCTTGTCCTACATCGCAGCCTTCCTCATCGAACTGCATGCCACGTTCTTCGTCAAGTCCTACTTTGAGCACGACATCAAGCCTGTTGCTACAAAGGGCGGATCCGCTGGGCAGTCGTCCTTGTCATACTCTCTGTGTCGATCGGGTCCTTTTCTGTCATGGGAGCACCAGCGAATGCGGGGCAAGTTCGGTGGCTCATATGCTGCCTCCACATTGTCATGTGGGAACCTCATCGTCGTCTCCGTCGAGCGAAGTGGATGCCCTGCCCAAGGAGAGTCGCTCGCTCTCCGGTCTGGCGATGGGGAGTGGGAACGATTTTGAGGCAGGGCAGGGTTCAGCAATCGCTCTGCTGCTGCGGACCGATCAGACAGCAGCTCCGGTGAATCGCAAAAGACCTCTTTCTAGCGACAAAGGAATTTGTACAGCCGACGGAGAGCCGCAGAAACAGGGTGCTGACAGCGACAGTCCGACGGAGGACGGAGGGCCCCCGTGCAACAGGCAGAATCTTTCAGGGTCGTCTCCAAGTGCCGATGAATGTCGAGCAACTCTTGTCCGGCCGGAAGCGTCAAGGAAGTCCCCTAAACTAGAAGAGCATCCAGATGCCGTGTGTCGAATCGATCCCAGTTGCAGTGGACCTTGTGCAGAAGAACATGCCGCGGAAGAAGATGCCCTAGCGCAGAGGACACAATCTTTCCATCCAAGTGTGCACTCTTGTCAACGAGAGGAAATGGCTGGCTGCTCGAGGATGGCGGAAAATAGAAGTGATGGAGAAGGGTCCGGTTCGAGTGATTCTGAGGAGGAAGATGGTGATATGGACAGCTCGTCGACAAGCACGATGCCTAATTCCATGAGAGAGGGTATCGCTGGGGCATTTGCTGCGCTCTCAACCGACGAGGACAATCGGATGATGATGGTCGAAGCGGGCGTCATCACGGCATTGGGAAAACTGCTGACGGACCCTCTCGAGGATGTAAGGGATAGTGCAGCGGAAGCGCTGTATCACCTAAGCAGAGAGCATTGCTACAGGCCGCAAATGATAAGAGCAGGGCTTTTCCAGATCTTGTCCGACGTCAGACCGGATGACGATCAGCAACTGGGTGTTCGTGTGTACCATTTCTCGAGAGTAATAAGGCGGCGTTTGCTGTGGGCGATGGAGTACGAGGACATGAAAGAGCATCAGGCGCAGGAGCAGCCGGAGCGTGAAGAGGATGACGAGGGAAGAGGAGGCGGCGAGGGAGAGGAGGATGGTGGTGATGATGACAGCGATGACGGAATGGAGTTCGCCACGTTCGTGGACATGGAGTGTGATGTCGAGGAGTACCTTAGTCTGATGACCGGTGCAGATGCAATGATGGATTAGCGGAAGGGAGGTGGGGGGAGGAAGTCGGATTGAGGAGCCATCCACTGCTAGATTGATGATTAGGACTGTACTTGAAGATGACCTGTGTTGCAGTTCCGTGTCCGTTGATGGGGTCGATTGATGGGGGTCAATACGATAGTTTGTTCATTCCGAATTGTCGATGATGTGTCAGGGAGCTGCGTCTCCTCATGTTTGCTCTCTGGCAAGTGAGAAGGTGCTCTTTCTCTGCAAGTTCTGGTGCGCATGGATTTGCTGGCAAACAGAACGATGACGCCGGAGGTGTCTAGACATATGTTTGCATGGACTCGGTGCAGGACTCGTAAGAAAGAGCGAGTCGGTTTGACATTCCCAGCTGAGGCATGGGGCTGGCTGCACCCATTTGATTTGATGATGTTGATGATCCACATTCAAGGCTTGGCATGCTTGTCTGTCTACCTATCATCTGATGGATGGCCTCCCAATCTTTGTCTGCAAAGGGAGAGAAGGGGTGGTTGACATGGTGGGGCAGTGGAGAGAGAGAGGAGGAAAGTCAGAGGGGCATAAATGAGATTTGTCTGCGCAGGGAGAGAAAGGGTGGTTGACATGGTGGGGCAGTGGAGAGAGAGGAGGAAAGTCAGAGGGGCATAAATGAGATTTGTCTGCGCAGGGAGAGAAAGGCGGGTGACATGGTGGGGCAGTGGAGAGAGAGGAGGAAAGTCAGAGGGGCGTAAATGAGATTTGTCTGTGCAGGGAGAGAAAGGGGGGTGACATGGTGGGGCATTGGAGAGAGAGGAGGAAATTCAGAGGGGCGTAAATGAGATTGGTGCACACCTACCCACTTGATAGATGGGATGGTGTGAACTCGAACTGCGTACTGTGCATCGGACAGGTGCCTCCTATTCAACTATGGAGGAGAGGGAGGATGGTGTAAATGCAGATAGAAAGCAAAACTCGTTGGGGGATAAGGGCTTACTCACACAAGGACTTTTTCAACGTCTCTCTGGACGTAATTGGGGTTACATGCATCCAGGTCTAGCCGTAAAAAAGGTTAGGCATGGACACGAAAGTCCTCATGTGGTATGCCCTAAAACGGGTGCACACCTGTCCATTGGATAGACTGGATGGTGCAACGGCCTGCTGTGTGATCTGCCTCCTATTGGGCCTTGCTCCACTCGTCACGAATGATGCAAAATGAGAACGAATCTTCCGCTAGAACATGGAAAGATACACAGTCATGGTTTTTGTCTTTTGTGCATGTGGTGAGTAGTGGAGCGAGGCCCATTCAAATGTTGAGAGGGAGAGAGGGAGGAAGGTGCATATGCAGAGAGAAGGGGGGGGCAAAGGGGGGAGGGGGGGGGGGGCGGGGGCGGGGCTGATCAGTGGGAGGAGCAAAAATTAGGTGCTCACCTCTACCCATTTGTTAAGACTGGATGGAATGAATTGAACTAGCTACCCTGTCTTCCCCCAAGTAGAACGCCCTGTCATTATCGCCGCCGTATCTAGACTGAGTATTGCCCCCAGTGCAGCTGTAACAACCAGGCATTGTAGACTGAAGGTTGCCCCAAACACAGCCGTAATGATGACCATGCCTTCTATTCGGGTGGTGTAGACGGCGGGGAGCATGTGTCGTGTATCTATACGTTGAGAGGAGAAGAGGGGTGGGAATACATTGAGAGGAGAAGAGAGGTGGGAAAACTAAACGTTGCGCCAAATGCAGTTATAACGACTGGGCGTGCTATTCAGGTGTGTAGACGGTAGGAGGCATCGGCCCTCTCTATTCAAACCTTGAGAGGAGGAGAGGGGGAGGAGATGACGGAAAGTTCTTTTTGGCATGCTATTCAGGTGTGTAGAGACTGTAGGAGGCATCTTGTCCCTCTCTATTCAAACCTCGAGAGGAGCAGAGGGAGGGGACGCCTGATTGCAGTTTATGACGACTAGGCATGTTCTGTTCAGGCGTAGACGGTAGGTAGGGGACATTTGTCTTCTATTCAAACGCTAAGACGAGGAGGGGGCGGGAAAGAAAGGGATTAGGCTGTGCCAAGGTGGGGGATTGCACCTGTGTGTCTTGTTCCTGCCCCCCGAGCACGTTTGCATACGGCTGTTAGGTCACAGATGTGCAAGGCCAGCCAGCCACGAGAGCAAGTATGCACACATGCTCGGTATGCAGCCGGCCCGGCAGCCACGAGAGCAAGTATTAGCAAGGGTAAATGATGGATTCTTTGTCTTTTCATTACTGCAAACAGTATCCATGGGCTCGTGATTTGGCGCTGACAAAAATGGTAGTGGTTTTTTTTTTTTTTTTTTTTTTTTTTTTTTTTTTTTTTTTTTTNTTTTTTTTTTTTTTTTTTTTTTTTTTTTTCCCCCCCCGCGGTCTAACGACTTACGGATGTGTTGTAAGAATATAAGCATGTCATAATACACCCACAGAACAAGTATTACCCACTCCACTGTAAACGTGATGAAGTGGTTGGTCTTGTCATTGGTACAAACATTGGGCCTCACGCCACTGCTGCTCCTTGTGCAAAATGAGAATGAATCTTGCACTGGATCGTGGAAAGTTTTGTCTTTTGTGCAGGTCGAGCGTGGTGTGGAGAATATTTTTTGTCTTTTGTGCAGGTAGAGCGTGGTGTGGAGAAGAGCCCATGATAACCCCATGATAAACATGGAAAGTTTTGTCTTTTGTGCAGGTGGGGCTGGGATGTGTTGTAGAATGCACAATGCATAACAAGCAAAACAGATGGCGATATATTGCGTGATATTTATTATTTATTTATTATTTACTGCATTTGAGCGCTTCTTCTCTATCATGTACTTCTTTTTTCTTTTTCCCTTTGTGTGTGTTGCTATGGTTCTCCTGCCTGTCACGCTATTGCTATCATATGTTTTTTTTTTTTTTTCCTTATCTCAATTTTACTGGTGGGGATGCACCTGTCCTCTTCATATTTTTTTTTCACCTGTCGGTGTTGTTGACGCTAAATGCTCGTCACCTCTGCATCTGAATCAAATGCAGAACGGATGATCTTATCTGAATGATTTTAATCGTCACCTCACGATGTTCGTCAGGCCTCTCGCGTTCATCTGTAACGATAGATTACCAAAAATAAGTTTTAAAATCTTTTCATTCTTTATCATTTTTTTCTTGAAATTGGAGACTACTGAGTTACGAAAACAATTCAAAAGAATCAAAACTCAAAAACTGAGTTGTCATCTAGGTAAATAAGATGCGGACCCTATTTTTGCCGATGTGGTTATTATCAAGTATTAAGTAGGCCGATGTGGTTATTATTGTCTTTCTTGCACACATCATTCATACGGCTCGTACCTAAGTTCTCACAGGTGACTGTAGTGAATATGGTGAAGGCATAGTCTAATCCCATCAGTAATGGTGGAAGGTCGAGAGGTTCCAAGGGTTCGGTTGTTCGCCGATGAAAGTGGTAAACTCATCGAGTATTATTAACTATTAAAGACTGTTAAAAAAAAAAAAAAAAACTGTTTAAAGTTTAAACACATGTATAAATTTATGTGTTCAAGTCATACTTGCGGTGCATATGCGAGGTGCGCTGCGTAGTGCGGTGCGGTGCTCTGATCGTTGATGCGCTAAAAAAAAAAAGAAAAAAAAAAAAA